TAGACTGGCAGACCACATGGTGTGCCCCTGGTCTCATAGTTAGAAGCACTGAAACTGCACTAAATCAACAAAAACATCGGAGAGGAAAGACAGGGGAAAGTCTGTCATTGAAAATGAGGGGGAAATGACATTTAAAAAATATTAGTCCACCATCCCAATTAGTTCAGACATGTAATTTAGACTGACTTGAACAAATGTACACTGAAATTAGTGACATTGCAGCAGGGATAGTTTGACCTCCCCTTTGCCTCATGTAATTATGAATAGGAACCATCACACCTGAAATCCAACTGTCCCTTCACCAATATTAGAGATGCTGCAAGAGTTATTTATCAGGGTGATGTAATGTCCTGCAAAGATTCCCTCCCCTTTCCTGATTTACAATCAAGGAATATTTGACAGAGAGAGTTTTGCATAGGGAACTTCTTGGGTTGTGCTTGAAAAGCTGTATGTAAAGCAGGATCTATATTAAGCCTCACTTTGCAGCGGAAAGCACGTGAACAGACTGATGCCACATTGATTCTGGGGCTCTGCATGGACATAGCAGCTGGCATATGTACCTGATGTGTAGGATTAATTAGCATTAACCAGTTCTAGGTAGACCTCCAACAGTACATTGTATAGTTGATAAAGATATTCTCAAACTCTAGTCTTCAGAGAATTCGCTGGCAGTTTCAGTAAAGGGGGTTGGGCATGTGGTACTGCCTGGATCCTGTTTTTACACTTATCTGATAAATAATATTGGCAGTGAAGACATGTCCTCTGAGGGCCACAGGATGGAGTGCCTGAGTGAAGCTATATGTGGGCTATACCCCAAAAATGGATAGAATATAGCTGTGTTGGTGGTACTGGATGCATGCCGATAAACACTCCTAAGAGAGCAAGCTTATTACCACTTCCCTAGTGCTGCCCTCATGCTGTTTAGGGGTACAGCACATGTGGAGTAAGCATGGCTGCTTCACTGTGGTTCTCCCTAGCATGGTTCTTTGACAGGCCCTAATTGCAATATCTATCTAATAGTTGAAAATGTCTGCTCCAGGGAATTCAGAAGCTGGAATAGTGAGAGTGGGAGAGAAACACCTTTCTTAATATTACTTTTCTGTGAAGGTATTTGATGCATTTTCTACAGGGTAGTATGGGTAGGAGAGATGATGATCTGTCTAATCATGAAAGTGAGGGTGCATCAATAGGATGGCCTAATCATTATTTGTTTTACTGTAGTGCTTAAAAGTCTTGTTCATGGTGCAATCCCCCTCCCCTAAAAAAAATGGTCCCTGATGTAAAGAACAGGCAGTGTTAGTGTAAGGCAATAAACACCAAGCAAATAAATGGAGTCCAGTGTTAACCCTCTCATGGTCAACATGGCAGCAAGTGGCTGCAGCAGGCAAACAGGCTAAGTGTTGTAGGGATTGTGAATGCTGCGTGTTCCTGGAAGCGGGGAGGGGGCACAGAAAGCTCCCACAGGCAGTGACAGTGGAGGCGGCAGCGGGAGCATGGCGGCGGTAAGTGGGGAGCTCCCACAGGCGGTGACAGTGGAGGCGGCAGTGGGAGCATGGTGGCGGTAAGTGGGGAGCTCCCACAGGCGGTGACAGTGGAGGCGACAGCGGTAGCATGGCGGCGGTAAGTGGGGAGCTCCCACAGGCGGTGACAGTGGAGGCGGCAGCGGGAGCATGGCGGCGGTAAGTGGGGAGGTCCCACAGGCGATGACGGCGGCAGTGGGAGCATAGCGGCAGTAAGTGGGGGGCTCCCATAGGCGGCCGCAACGCTGTCGGCATCGGGGCAGAGGGGGTGGTGAGTGCTGACAGGCGGTTTGGCAACCACCCACAGATGCCGCTGGCAGTGTCACTGGCAGCCAGTGGCAATCACAGACCACCCGCAGATGCCGCCGGCAGTGTCAGGGGCAAGGGTAGGGCAGCAATGAGCAGCGACCACCTGCAGGCACCGTCAGCGGTGCCTTTTCACAGGGGGTGCACCACCATGCTCAAGGGGTGCACATGCACCCCGTACGCATCGCCAATGGTAGGGATCATAGCAGAGGGAGAATCTGAAGTAACTTGCTATAGCCCACAAATTACTTTTGAGAGAGAGAGTATGTTTCACTGGAGGTGAAGGCACCCAGTCACTGCTTTGCAGCAAAGATATCATTAAATATGAAAGTTCAACATTATGAAAAAGTTTGAGAAGAAAAAAACACAGCATCTCAATAAGCTAATAGGGATGCAATAGCATGGGAGGGAATAAAAACTAAATGGTGTATGTGACTTTGTCAGAGTGGGCTGTCCTCCTCCCTGCTAACACACGCATATGCCAGTACTTGCTATGCAGAGTGTCCATCTTCTGTGGGATGGGAGTTGTGGCACCAGTCTCTATGGGGTAGAATGGCTCACAGCAGACCTTACAAATTCTGCAAGCCACTGTCACTTGAAAGATTTATGTTGCCATGACTACATGGTGAAATGTCAACCTGTTCCTCTGTCAGAGAAGTCAAAAGAGCTATTTTAAAAGAAAGGGGGGGGGAGGGGAGAGAGAGACAAAGAGAAAAATAGACCACAGGTCAAAGATAAATCAAAGAATGCAATGGCAAAGGGTCCAGACACTTTGGCAGTACTTGGAAAGCAAAGAAAATTGAAATAGGTTGAGGTATGGAAAATGACACTCAGCTGTGGTGCCCCACCAGATAAAATAGTTTGGTGCTGACCAGTGACCACGGCCATTAGTATGTAGATGGTATTGTTTCAGCATGATGCAGGTGAAGCCAGCTCAGCTACAGTCACATCACCAGGGTCATCAGAGCATTCAAGGCTGCTGTTAGTGTCAGACAGTCAAAGCTCCACCCGATTTTTTCCTAGCTAAAAACTACAAACTGCATGGCAAAGTCTTTTCCTAGGGTTTCTAGTGAGGGAAGCACAGGATTGCCTGATGTGGCAGTTACTAGGGGTGTGAGAAGCAGGCCCTATTCAATTCGGATTCAGCCCAAATCAGGGACAGTGATTCGATTAGTTGATTCAGATCGCTGCCCATGATTCAATTTGGCTTAATCCAAATCTGAAGATTCAATGCTGATTTGGAGAATCAGTGATTCGGACACAGACATTGCTTTAAAAGTTTTTTCTACATACCTTGAGTAGCAGGCACGGCTCATGATCGCTGCTATGCTGGGGCACATGGAGTGTCCCACAGGAGTGCAGGGGGCACTCCAGCTGCTTGGTCCACTTCTGGGTCTGCTGCTGAGCGTGGTGGGGAGCCCCCCCTGCTTCTGTGGGACACTCCATGCACCCCAGCATCGTAGCACTCATGAGCCACCTGGTACCTACAGGTATGTAAAAAAACCATTTAAAGCTGTCTCTATGTCCAAATCTCCAAATCTTTCCGAATCTCTCAGAATCAATTCGGAGGGTTCCAATTCGATTCGGAGAGATTAAAGGGTCTCCGATTCAATTTGGATTCAGAGATTCAGCCACCAAATTGGACCAAATCTCCACCAAATCGAATCAGGGACCGAAGCTTCACACAGCCCTAGGAGTTGCACCTATCCTGGAAGCAGAATTTGGTGTTGTAGCTGTAGATTATGTCAAAGAAAAAATAAAGATCGGTAATAAGATGATTGCTGCTAGTGCATGACACTTAGATTTTTGCAAAGACTTTAAAATACTGTAATGTAAAGAAGTTGCAAGTGTAACAGCATGTTATAAAATAAGACTGGAGTAGGAGTATAGTGAAAGATACAGGAAAAGGCTTAAGCCTGGGAAAGAATATACCATATTTACTTGCATTCAATATATACTTCCCCCCCAAAAAATTAGCCCTTCAAAATTGGGGCGCATATCTTAGGTGTGGAAGCTGATTTTTCTTCACTGGAGTAGAAGCAGGATAAACAAGAGCATGCAATGTGCCTCATGACTGCCAAGGTAACTGCTGTTTCTCCCTGGGGCTGCAGAGAACAGGGATGGAGTCCAGTATTACGCCTCTCAATGACTAATGAGGCAGTGGCTTTTGGCTGAATAGCCAATGAGCCAGCTGAATGAGCTGCTGCATGCAGTCTGTAGTATGCTGATGATGGTTGTGGTATGTAAACAACACTATTATTTCCAGGAACTTATATAAAGAACTATTTACAGTAAAGAAATAACAGCTACTTTGCTACTGCCCTGGTAAGGGTCAGGGCCCTGACTTGCTGTAGTCCTACCACACCTAGGAGTCCCTGCTGCCCCAGCCAGACTGTCTCCTGGGATTCCACACATCCTGGACACTATTTCCAAGTAGACTATGTCCCACATGTAGACTCTGTGTCGCACAGTCGGCCATTACTTTGGACAATTCTTTCTTATATTCTTCTGTCTAAAAACAAGATGCCCATCTTATTTTGGGGCTTGTGGTATATGAGCAAATGTGATATTCCCTGTGATAAAGGTACAGTGCGAAAGCTGAGGCAAGCCAGGGCCATCTCCATGGGATTAAAGGGTTGTTGGTGAATTCAGTTGTTCATTTTTAACCTGCACTTTGTTATGCGGAGCAGAGAGCTAACGGGTATGCTTCTGAGAAGCCAACAAAAAGGTGGGCTAGAAATAAATGGACAGATAGTGAGCCAGAAAGATTGCTTATTTTCCCTGTTGCTAACAATTTTCCTTTCTGCTCCAGTTAAACCCTTCATGTGGGGACTTTAAGACATAATGCCAAAGAAAAGAAAAAGGTGGCTTAAATATACATTAAATTGAGGTGCTGTGCTGAACAGAAGCCTTGCTACTAAATCTGTCTCTCTACAGGCTAATATTCCCAATGCTTTATTTATCCAGGCTTTCTTCTCCAAGTTCTAATGAGCCACCTGTCTTCTGCTACCAGAACCAACAGCAGGAAGGGAAGAGATGACAGATACATTATTTTGATAATTCTTCAAGTGGCATTTTTAGGTTGTATGCCATCCACAGTATCCCAGCGCCACTGGCCAAAGCAATGATGGGCAACTAGAGTTATGGTAAAGTGTCTTTAATATGATTGGGTTTGGTCTGTGAGTCAAAAGTTGTAGAAGACAGAACTGTGAAGAAAGAACTTCAGGGTAGTAGCTATGGTGTTGACATTTCATTTTTTGGCAGTTGTCTTTCTGTATTTCATAGGTGCCTGGTTGCATAGATTCTTGTTATCTGTGGATAAATTAAAATAAGAAGGTAATGAAATAACTTATTTTTATTTGTCATCTAGAATTCTCTTACCTTGACATAGGATTTCAATTAAAGGACTAAATATGCATTTAAGATTTGAACCAGGGCCAGAGGGCTACCAAATTTGGGCTCTAATTATACAGGCAAAAGTCCACAACTAAGAATTTTCCTTTGTCAGTCATCAGAGTTCCAGACCAAAAGCATCCATTAAATCATTTATTCTGACCTTCTTGTATATCATAAGGAAGAGTTTCACACAGTTGCTCTTGTAGTGAGATCCATCATTTGTGAATGGCTAAAGCAGCTCTTCCCCAAAGGCATGAAGAAATAGACACTCCACTACTTCCCTTGAAAACACTCATTGCCTCTGTGACAGTAGAACCATATGGGAAAGTTGCAAACAACTTGAAAAATGCTACCTCACGTACTGACCTGAAAACTTGAGGACACAAGATTGCTAAGAAAAGTTCACAGAATCATAGAAAATTAGGATTGGAAGAGACCTCAGGAGGTCATCTAGTCCAACCCCCTGCTCAAGGCAGGACCACCCCAACTAGATCATCCCAGCCAGGGCTTTGTCAAGCTGGGATTTAAAAACCTCCAAGAATGGAGATTCCACTACCTCTCTAGGTAACTTTCCGCCAGTGCTTCACCACCCTCCTAGTGAGAGAGATTTTCCTAATATCCAATCTAAACCTCCCTTGCTGCAACTTGAGACCATTGCTCCTTGTTCTGTCATCTGTCACCACTGAGAACAGTCCAGCTCCATCCTCTTTGGAACCACCCTTGGTGTAGTTACCCTTCAGGTAGTTAAAAGTAGCTATCAAATCCCCTCTATCTTCTCTTTTCCAAACTAAATAAACCCAGTTCCCTCAGCCTCTCCTTGTAAGTCATGTGCCCCAGCCCCTGAACCAGTTTTCGTTGCCCTCCACTGGACTCTCTCCAACTTGGCCACATCCTTTCTATAGTGGAGGGTCCAAAATTGGGCACAATACCACAGGTGTGGCCTCACCAGGGCAGAATAGACTAAAATAATTACATCCCCTGATCTCCTGGAACACTGTTAGCCTTCTTGGATTGGAAATGGATTGGAAAAGGATTCTTTGAGGACCTGCTCCATGATTTTTTGGGGGGACTGAGGTAAGGCTGACTGGTCTGTAGTTCCCCGGCTCCTCCTCCCTCCTTTTCTTAGAGATGAGCACCATATTTACTGTTTGCCAATCATCCAGGACCTCCCGCGATTGCCATGAGTTTTCAAAGATAATGGCCAGTGGCTCTGCAATCACATCAGCCAATTCTTTCAGCACTCTCAGATACACTGCATCTGGCCCCCACAGACTTGTACACTTCTAGTTTTTCTAAATAGTCCCTAACCTGTTCTTTCACCACCTTCTTCCCCAAACTGTACTGCCCAGAGCAGTAGTCTGGGAGCTGACCTTGCCCGTGAAGACCAAGGAATTGAGTACTTCAGCCAAAGGAATTGAGTACTTCAGCCTTTTCCACATAATCTGTCACTAGGTTGCCTCCACCAATCAGTAAGGGACCCACACTTTCCCTGACCTTCCTGTTGTTGCTAACATACTTGTAGAAGCCCTTCTTGTTACCTTCACATCTCTTGCTAGCTGCAACTCCAGTTGTGCTTTGGCCTTCCTGACTTCATCCCTGCATGCCCAAGCAATATTCTTATACTCCTCCCTTGTCATCTGTCCAAGCTTCCACTTCTTGTAAGCTTCCACTTCTTGTAAGCTTCCTTTTCGTGTTTAAGCTCACCAAAGAGTTTTCTGCTAAGCCAAGCTGGTTGCTTGCCACATTTGCTATTCTTCCTGTACATCAGGATGGTTTATTCCTGTGCCCGCAGTAAGGTTTCTTTAAAATACAACCAGCTCTCCTGGATTCCTCTCCCTCTCAGACTGGTCTCTCAGGGGATCCTGCTCATCTGTTCCCTGAAGGAGTCAAAGTCTGCTTTTGTGAAGTCCAGGGTTCATGCTCTGCTGCTCGCCATCCTTCCTTTTGTCACGATCCTGAACTCAGTCATCTCGTGGTCACTGCTGCCCAACTTGCCATCCACTTGTACATCCCCCACCAATTCTTCCCTGTTTGGGAGCACCAAGAACAGCACCACCCCTAGTTGGTCTCTCCAACATTTGCACCAGGAAGTTGTCTCCAACACTCTACAAAAACTTAGTGGATTGCCTGCACGCTGCTATATTGTCCTCCCAGCAGATGTCAGGGTGATTGAAGTCCCACAGGAGAACTAGGGCCTGTGATCAGGAAACTTCCGCTTTTTGTCTGAAGAAGGCCTCATTTACCTCATCCGCCTGGTCTGGTGGTCTATAACAGACACCCACCACAACATCACCTTTGTTACTCTCTCTTCTAACCTTAACCCGGAGACTTTCAATAGGCCTACCTCTAGTTTCATACTGGAACTGTGAGCAATCATACAGCTCTTTTACACGCAGCACAATTCCTCCTCCTCTTCTCCCCTGCCCGTCCTTCCTGAACACTTTGTACCCATCCATGACAATGCTCCAGTCATGCGAGCTATCCCACAAGTCACTGTTATTCCAATCACATCATAGCTCCTTGACTGTGCGAGGACTTCCAATTCTTCCTGCTTATTTCTCAAGCTCCATGCATTCGTGTACAGACACTGAAGTTACTAGCTTTTTGCCCTACTTTCTCAGGAAGAATGAAGAGGTCTCTCCTGTTGTCCCCTCTTCCTTATGCTTCCTCCAGGTCCTGCGCTTCCCCGCTTATCTCAGGGCTTTGTTCTCCAACCCTGGTTTAAAGCTCTCCTAAGTAAGTTAGTGAGCCTGTTTGTGACAAGGACCTTCCCTCTCTTTGTCAGGTGGATCCCATCTCTTCCTAGAAATCCTTCTTCTTGGAACAACATTCCATAGTGAAGAAGTTGAATCCCTGCTGGTGACACCACCTGCGCAGCCATGCATTGATCTGTCAGATGCATCCTCTCCTGCCAGGGCCCTTCCCCTGGACCAGAAGGATTTAAGGGAATAAGACCTGTGCCCTCATCCCCTCACCCTTGCACCCAGAGCCCTGAAGGCACTCTTGATCTGCTCAGCCCCACCCTGGCAGTATCATTGGTGCCCACATGGATGAGCAGCATGGGGTAATAGTCAGAGGGTCAGATGAGTCTCGGTAATCCTTCCATGACATCTCAGATCCAGGCTCCAAGCAAGCAGCAGACCTCTCTGGACAACAGGTCAGGCAGGTAGATGGATCTCTGCATCCCCCACAGAAGGGAGTCTCCAACCACCATCATCCATCACTTCCTCTGCATGGCAGTGGTCTCAATCCTCCCCACCTTGGGGATTCCTGGCCTGGCCTCTTCCACCAATGGAATGCACTCCTCCTCCTCCTCTGTTGCTAGCACCCCATATCTGTTCTCCAGGCAAACCTCTGCACATGGGGATGATGACTTCTTGCTACCAGAAGATACAAGCTTCCACCTTCCTGAGAGTCCATGCCCTCTCCCTTTTCTCGAACCACCCCTAGTCCTTCCTTCACAGCCCTAGAGGTTCCCTCCAGCATGGAATTGATAAAGTCCTTATGGTAGAGGATGCTTCAGAGTCTTGCTACCACCTCTTGTAGCTCTCTTGCCTTCTTTCTGAGGTACACCACCACAAGGCACCACTCATATTGCAGGCACTCCCCCATCTGGCTGATACTGGAAGGAATCTGCACGCCGCAGTGTGCACAGTACCAAACCAGGACCTGGTTGGAAGCCTCAGTGGTGTGTGGGCCTGTCTGGACAGACACCTTACAGGTGGAAGCAGTTAGTTACCCAAGTTACCCAAGCTCAAAGTACTACATAAGATCCTGGAGGTAAGTTTTCCTGAAGTATGTTTACTTTCAGTTGCAGTTACTTTCAGGTTGATAATTAGCCACCCCCTTGTAAATTTGGCTTCCCAGCCTGGTGATAGCTCAAAGGACAGCATCAGCTTTGTCTGCTGGACAATTCACCTGGCTTGAAAGGCCAAGATAATAATCCTCCAAGGTTCCTTCTCTGTGCATTTTAATTTACCATATTGCAAAGTAGTTGTGTAGCCTCTTAGATGTTCAGCATATATTCTGTGATGCCAGACTGCTGTCAGAGGAGTTAGACCTTGCATACTAGTATGTTGTAAGTCTTAAAAACAATTAAAAATATACAGAGAATCCAGATGGCAAGGAGTCAAAATCTGCCTTCAGTGATGCATGCACAGCTTCTATTTTCAAGAAAGATCAATGTTGAATGGAGGAGCCTTGACAGAGAGCCTTTAATAAGGACACAAAAGGCAAGCAAAGAAAACCTCTGAAATAGCAAGGCCACATGGTGTAGTTTGTCATTCAGATAACTGAGGTAGCTTGCTGCCACTTTATGTCAAGTATCTTTAAAATGCTAGAGTTAGGGCCAAATCCTAAGTTTCTTCAGTGACTTTTTCTTTGATTCTTATGGGAGTTTTGGCTGAGGGAGTAAGCTGTGAGCCGTAAGGACACTCAGTGCACCTTCTCGCTTCCCTCTGCAACAGTGAGTAGAGAAGAGACACTATGGAGTCATCAGATGTCTTCATGTGGCTGGGTGCATGCGCAACCTGTTTGTTTTTGTGCATCTTTATAGGTAGGACCCTAGTGAATTCATGGTGGGAATGGGCTGCACTGTGGCACCTTTAATCTTGCAGGTTCTCCCTTGCGCCCTCCCCCACCCCATTAGCAGAGGTACCTCACTTGCAGCTCACTCCTGATTGGCAGGGAAGTGAAAACTGTGGTTTTAGATAGGGCGCCATTTTTGCCTCCCTGCCAGTCATCAGCAGGCAGTGGGGCCACTGGGGCCCCTCAGCCAATCAGTGGTGGGAGGCAAAAAAGGCACCGTGTTTAAACCCACGGTTTTTACTTCCCCCTTGATTGGGAGCAAGCCACAAGCAGGGCCCTTTCACTGATCAGTGGCAGCGGGGCATGCGGAGGGCAGGGACCTGCAAGAT